GTTAGCCAACATTAAAAAACACGAAGGTTTTTTATCTAGTTTTTTTTTTTTTTTAATTTGTATATCTAATAGTAGGATTATTAAACGCTTATTAATTAAAGGTTTATTATAATTAATTAAAGACTTGTTATACTAATTTTAACAGTTAATGCTAAAAATACATGGAAGAGAGTCGAGGGAACGAGAAACACTGTGACGCCTCATCGGTGAAATAAAAAAGGTTTCCATAGTCCGCATCATTGCGTGTCACGCAATGAGTCATGGGGTTCGTAAACCTTATGGTGTGTAACCCTCAGAGAGTCCTTATTAAGCTTCGCAGTGAAACGTTCACGTTACACATTTCATGGAAATTATAAACGTCATCCCCCTAACATTCTTTCCAAGGTAATATTATATCGACGAGTATGCTTTTTTAAAATATTTATTATTACATCACAAATATAGAAATTTGAATTGATAAATTGAATAAATTTATATATTTAATCGAATGACTCTTTTTAAGTGGATTCGTATTTATAAAATTTAATGTGTTTCAAGACCGATTTTTTTTCCCAGAAAAAAAAAACGCAAAAGTACAATACAAATTTATCGCAAGAAAAGAACGGTTTTGCTGAAATATTTAATTATACGCTTTAGCAATTTATTTTATGCTTCGGCAGACTATTCCTTTCCTGCAAGAGGCACGAAAACTTTATCTCAAAATAGCTCGATACCGGCATGAGGCGGTATTTACACGATATGGGAGAGCCAGCCGAGTTGCTATTTCGAAGACGAGACGAGTAAGTCGGGCACTATCGAGTTCAAAGTCGAGTAGAATATCATTTTCACAGTCGAGTCACTATACAACTGTACCTGTTCAACAGCCGTCGATCGTTTGTAGTTGCGAATTTACGCAGTCGCGACTGCAGTTGCTCGGCTTCGAGCTGTTTATCAATGGAAATGTTTACGGTGCGATTTATCGCGACGACGAGCTCGGCTCTTTCTCTCTCTCTCTCTCTCTCTCTCTCTTTCTTTCTCGGCGCGTAGATTTTCAGGGAAAAAAGCTGCAGCGGGTGTCGACGATGAGAAATTCCGAACAATCCTGCATTTTTTCCCCCCCTTTTTTTTCCAACCGGGAGGATTTTATTTCTCGCGTAACCTGCTCACGGACCGCGTTAATTCCGACGATCCGGCATGTCGACCAGCTCGCGTGTAAAATCTCATCCGACGAAAATCAAATTGTCACAAACGAATGAACGATTACGGTAAATTGAATAGGCTTAACGAGTTTCCAGGAGATTAGCGGAAATGGCGAGCGTTGCGAAGAGCATGAAACAAGCGTGTGCGGGGAGCGAGAAGACGCAGCTGGGGAAGCTGGTTGATCGAAGGGGCTTTACAAGCAAAGGAGGAAAAGGGGTGCTTAAGCCCCTTTATTTAAAAAAAAAACCTCCATTCTCTTATAAATTGTAGTCGGATACGGATTACGAGACGCGACCAACACGGCGTGTTCATCGATTCGCTCGTCGTTATTACTATTTTACTCATTACTTATCTATCTTCGTTGGCAGGATCCTAGACACCACCTAGGCACCAATCGAATCGAATCGGTATTGTATTAATGCATTATAAATCAATCCCAAATCATCCTTACTCTTTTCTAACAAAGAGACACGTGCCCATACGTTTAATCCATTTTTCCGGCAATGAAATTCCGGAAAATGAAACGAACAGCATTGCGGGAGAAAAATATCGAACATTCCATTGTGGGAGCCAAGTCGCATCAATCTTTATAATCCGTTCGTAACCATCGATCAAACAACGCGTAGCGAGATTTCTTGCCTCGGCTCTCAAGGATGGAACGGTTCGTTGTTGGCAAGTTATCGCTTAAATAAAACTTTATCGTTTTTTTACCACACACGATACGCGACGTGTGATATCGCGATGCGCTCTGTGTGTCTGGTCTTTCTCTAGTGTTCACGTTGACGCACACACACGTGTCGATTAACAACGCGTCAAACGCGTTGAGGAGAGGGGTGGCGGGGGAGGGAGGGGGGGGAGGGTCGAAAATTATTATCGACGTATTTCCGCGCCCTCTCCCTCCTCCGCAATTTCGCGTTCTTAAAAGCTTCCGCGAGATCTACAGAGATCTACAAAAGCTGTTTCAGAATCACGCTTAGAGTGATTTATCCCGCGTGGGATAACGATGGTGGTAACAAAGACACGTTTCGCGTGCGTTTAACGTGATATACATTTCGCGTTTCAACGTGCTCTCTAACGTCATTTGCGGCTCACCAAGTCGCAAATAACGCGGCGCTCTCGCGCGAAGTAAAAAAAAAAACAAAGTAAAATCGGAGAACGCGTATACATACGAGTTGCAAAACGAGGATCTTACGAGGCATTACCACGGTTATATCCGAAGCGCAGAAACCGCATTCAAATTGAATTCACGTTTTCTCGTCGTCAAAACTTTTATACCGTCCGTTCACGGGAGAAATATCGCTCGTGACGCGTACGTTTTCGAGATAGATATTTCTTATAGATCCGCGAAAATCCGCAACTTCGAGAGAAGCAAATTTTCGAAGAATACGATATCTCTCGACATTTGATTATTCGCAACTACGTCTGTCATAAGTAATTGTCCTTTTTCCATCCTGCCAAGAAGATGAACAAATAACAGATATTTCTTCTCCCGGCGGATGTGTAAGTAAATTTCTCGAAATTGTAAGAATATATACTCGATCAGCATTATGTCGAGTAGACGACATTCTTGCCATCTTTCTTCTCAGAAGCCACTTCCTGCGCGTCGCCGGTGACTCACGTGAGTCGACTACAGATTAGAACACGCCATGGTTTCTCCGTGATCTTCGTTGAAAAGGCCACGGACTAATCGCAAGATTATCTTTGAGTATAGCTAAAATATAAATAAAAATGATCTTTAAGATTGGAAGCTTTAAAGCTTTGCAGAGCAATCTTTATCTTTATCCCTCTTTATCTCTCCTTGTCCTTGTCTTAAACAATCATTCATATCAGAATGCACAGATGGAATTTTAATTCTATATGCATTTAATTTTTTGCACACGTGCGTATTGTGATTCCTTAGCTGTTCTTCATATATAAACAGTATAAAAATATATTCATAATTCATAAAGTGCATAAAAATATACGTAGAAATCTATCGCAAATTATAAAATATCTAAAGTAAATTAAAACTCTTTTTTAATAATACATAGTTTTAATTTAAATTTTCACTTAGACTTTACTTTTTGTAAAAATATATTTTAAAAAGTAGCTAGAGTAATTATGAGTAGATTAAAAATGATTAAAAACGACGATAGCTTCTATCCTCAAATTCGATTTAAACGTTCCATGTCCATTTTTATCAATGTAAATTAACTTTAATCTTGGTCTAACTTATTTTTTTCGTTTAATCTTGTCTTTTTGTTTAAGAATTAAAAAAAGATAAAGAGTAAATTAGATCGAAATAAAAGTTTACATAGATAGAAACGGATATCAGAAGATCAATATGTTTAAACAGAAAAACGATTATTGTGTATTTTTTTCTCTTCTAGAAGGAAAAACGAGATGGAACTTTAAAAATTGTAGGCAAGTAAATTTTTCTGTAATGTGTCGATTCCTTCGTGTTCCTTCGGCTCTCTCCCTATTCTGCACGATATTAAAATAATTAATCCCTATTCTTTTCCCCCCGTCCTCGCGTTACGGGCTTAAATTAACGGGATTCGTGTCAACGCTCAGATTTAAAAGACTCTGCAACTCGTATAAGTTACATCAACAAAGAAATGATTCTTTATGATCCTAATCAAATTTTTCAAATGAGCAAGCTTAACAATTAGCAAATAGAAAAATGACTTTAATGAATTTATCTAATTTTCGGCTGCGGAAAAATGCATAAATAAAAAGAGGAAGAAGGAAAGAATAGGTAGAGGAACGTAGACGAGGAAAGGATTGACTTAATCGCACTTAATTTCACTACTTTTCTCTTCCCGACTATATCTTTCTACGTTACTGTACGATCACTCTCGTTTCCTCTTTCTCCCCTCGTCAAACCCTCACGAGAGAGTGCGCGTCTATTTTATTTTAAACACCGAGAGAGAGTGCAAGGAACTACGGCCGAAAAGAACCTCGCCTTTGTCTCCTTTGGCGAGCTACCTCCGCCCGATTTATTTCTTCATCGTATTAGTCACGCAGAAAGCCACAACGAGATATTTCCTACAAATGCTCGTTAGCAACCAATTACGGTGCAACCGCATTTCCCCCGGTATATCCGCGTGCGAGAGTGCGCGGGAAAACGAACCGGAGGAAGAGACGGAGGATCGGTCTAAACTACCACCCGGTGTTAATT